GGTCCCATCACTTCATGGCAAATAGATGGGGAAACAGTGGAAACAGTGGCTGACTTTATTTTTCTGGGCTCCAAAATCACTGCAGATGATGACTGCAGCCATGAAATTAAAAGACGCTTACTCCTTGGAAGGAAAGTTATGACCAACTTAGAAAGCATATTAAAAAGCAGAGACATTACTTTGTCGACAAAGGTCCATCTAGTCAAGGCTATGGTTTTTCCAGTAGTCATGTATGGATGTGAGAATTGGACTATAAAGAAGGCTGAGCACCAAAGAATTGATGCTTTTGAACTATGGTGTTGGAGAAGACTCTTGAGAGTCCCTTGGACTGCAAGGAGATCCAACCAGTCCATCCTAAAGGAGATCAGTCCTGGGTGTTCATTGGAAGGACTGATGTTGAAGCTGAAACTCCAATACTTTGGCCACTTGATCAAAGAGCTGACTCATTTGAAAAGACCCTGATGCTGGGAAAGATTGAGGGCAGGAGGAGAAGGGGACAACAGAAGATGAGATGGTTGGATGGCATCACTGACTTAACAGGCATGAGTTTGGGTGAATTCCGGGAGCTGGTGATGGACAGGGAGGCCTGGCGTGCTGTGGTTAACGGGGTTGCAAAGAGTTGGACATGACTGAGTGACTGAACTGATTAAACAATTAACTTTTAAATTACTGAGTACTATTAGTTACAAACATGTTGCAATTTCTCCAGAATTGTGAAGAAATGCTTTTCTATCTCTATGAAGCATTTACTAGTACTCTGTGCACTGAAAAGTTACAAAATAAATAATTGAAATTCACTCAGTAATTGTCACGTTACTGAATAAGTGTATATATTGCTTGAACTGGCTTGTCTTTAAAAAAAAAGTATCTCTATAGGAAGCAGAGATATATATCCTAAAATCTCCACCAAAACTCTGGTTCTACAATTTGAAGTAATATAATTTCCTGTTCACTTGTAATCACATACACAGTCAAAAGGGAAAGCAAAAGATGCCAAAGTGAACCCAGTAGCATTGTTCCTGAAATAACTATGAAGTCCTCAGATGAGAGGCAGTGGCTTATTTGATTTATGAAATACTGTGGGTATCAATATAAATGAAATAGAGTAGTGACATATTTGTGATGCTAAAAAGAAGAAAAATAAGTGAAATCTTTGCTAGTCAATGTTGGGTGAAATTTTAAAATAGCCCTATTTTTCCCCTAAGTATCTGTACTTTACAATTCTGATAGTTCATTCTGAAGAGCTATTTATCTCTAAAGTCACTTACTGCTTACTGTTCATATAGGAGTCATATTTAGGATGAGAAAAACACAGATGTGAATATAATGTTGAACTGTGATATAATAAATTTTAAGTGACCTATTAAAGAAAAAAAGTATACCTTGATTAAATTATTGTTGGATGCTAAACTTCACCACTCCAGTAACTGAGAACTTGAGTTGGCAACGTCAACTTTTACTTCCCTTGAATATTGAGAACACAGTACGTTTTGGATGGTACTGACCCAAATTCGGCAATTCAAGAATGACCATGCGTTTTCACACGTCTTATCTGTGTTGTTTTCCTCTCGCCTCCTGGAAACTGAAACTATTTTATGGTTCTGCAAAATCCAGCTCTATCTGTTGTTACCATCAGTCATTCTTTAATTGAATAAATCAGTCTCTGTGGCTCTGGTTTCCTGTCTGTCTAGGCAATAGAGTATGATAGCATTATCTAAAGCTAGGGTTTGTGTTAGGTGTTACAGTTCAATTGAAAGGAAAGGTTGGGAAAAAAAGAGTGTGTGTAAGACTAGTAGATTGTAACTTTGAGAAAAACTATGAGAGATCACAAAGGTTCATCCATGAGCATAAAGGCAACAGAGAGCAGAAAGAAAAGATGGAGATAAAATTGGTAAGAACAAACTTTAAAGCAATGCCAGAAGCTCATACCAAAGAAAAACAAAATGTATGGATTTTCCCACATACACTCTAAGTTCATTCTCCCTATAATTTTTTTACAAAATTACACACTGGCGTTACAGACAGGAAACAGATTCCACGAATTTATGTCTTTCCAACAAGAGTTTCTAAGGTGTGGACCTATACTCATGATGACTGATTTTATTATCATCAGGGAATAGAAGAATCACAGTAAATGGGACCAGAGCATGGGAGTATGAGGTCAGAAATCTTGGCTTCTCACATTGGCTAGTTGATGGGGCAACTCATGGGGTAGTTTTAGTTTTGTCACTGGTTGAAAGGGCAGGACATTACCTGCCTTATCTATGTTGGGGGTAACTGGTGGAGAAGCAAATGAGCCAATGAATAAGACAGTGCTTGGAATCATAAAGTGCAAATGTAAGGAGATGCTGTGATGAAGGTCATAAAGGGGGTCAGGATGAGGGCGATGATGATGCTTCCAAAGGGCATGAGTTTAATATGTTTTATACTTCTGGAAAATATTTTATTTGGTTGTTCTCATAAAATTGCATTATTAGATGTAAAGTAATTAGCCTCCAACTAATAAAAATAAATGGGAGAAAAAATGAGAAAAAAAAAATTTCATTATTAGAATCTGAGTTTGAGCTCTATGAAGAGGGTATAGCACTGGAGATACTTTGAAGGAGGTGCCCCAACTGCAAGACAAAGTGTCCAGCAAAGTTATCCAGGTAATTGTGGATCCATTATTCCAGGTTCAATATGATCTAGCAGTAGGGTTTGGAGAATAATTTATTTGGCTAAAATAAGGAGAAAAATCCTATTACCATCAAGAAGACAGTGTTAAGATACATTAAATACATCACTCTGATCTTCAGATCATAAAGAAAAAGGAACAATTCTAGAAAATAAACAATAACTTTCCCTAATCAGATGGTCCAATCCAGTCTGTTGAATGTATACAAAAATGGTAAGTTTGAAATATAATCTTAAAGACATGTGTTTTTCTAATGAATAGAGAAGCATGTGTTTTTCTAATGTGTTTTTCTGAATAGAAAAAGAAAAAAATAAGAAAACTCTCTGGTCAACCCTCATATGAAATTTTATTACTAGCTTCTAAGAATATATGACTTAAAAAGAAATATATTCCATCTCTATAGTTGTAAATACACATATCAATTCAGTCAATTGAAACTAAGTAAAAAATGTAAACTTTTGCTTTTCAACTGACTTTTATTATTCTGTGGAAATGCAGTATACGACCTGACACAACCTCATTTATTTTACTTGGGAGTTTACATTGTTTTTCTACTACACAGCACTCTTGAACAATTGGTCTTTAAATGCCAACTGTTTATATATGGTGAACATATCCATTAAATTACCTGCTTGCTTAAGTCATGACCTTGACATACATTTAAAAATGAAGACTTCAGAAAATTAGCTGATGGCTTTGAATGCTGAAAATATTTCAGCACCTATTACCCATATTATTAGATGCTACTGTACATAAGCACTTGAGTTAACACTATAATTATTTTTTTTGAAGGTCTATGAAATTTCAAATAACAGGCAATAGGTTACCATAAACTGGAATTATCAATACTAAAAATAATAAATGTTCCAATTCTGCATTTTTTTTATTAGATGTATATTTCTACTGAGTCTGCTTATATTACAGTTTTAACTATAGGAAAAAAGGAAGACTTGTTCATTAGGGCTAAAGAAATAATTTACATGTGCTCTTCAAAAGAAACATTTCTCTCCTACCTCATTAATTTTATTTCTCTACAAGACATTCAAAACAGAGAACACGAGAAAAGATGTCACATTTTCTGCGAGGCCTTGTCAGCATTACCTTTGGTCAGTCACAATGCTTCTCCTCACTTTAATCTTGTCCTCTCCAGTGCTCAGGTGAAAACTGTAAATACAAACAGGTATATTCGTTATCAGGGCTTCCGCGGGCATTAGTGATAAAGAACCCGCTTGTCAAGGCAGGACATGTGAGAGACAAGCGTTCGATCCCTGGGTCACAAAGATCCCCTGGAGGCGGGCACAGCAGCCCACTGCAGTATTCTTGCCTGGAGAATCCCCATGCACAGAGGAGCCAGGTGGGCTGTGGTGCACAGGGTTGCAAAGAGTCAGACTCACTGAAACGACTTAGCATGTATGCCTACATATTCATCATCAACCTCATCTGCTGCATGATCAGCAACAAAATTTGAGGAGGTGAAAGAAAGAGGCAGAGAGGACGTTCTAAGCCAGTGTTAGCAAATGTGTCTTCAGAGGTCCTAGTTCCTTCGTAAGCCTGAGACAAATCAGCTCCAAGGCAAAATAAAACTTGGAACTACATGCCTTCTCTCTCTTTCGAAGATTTCATAATGCACATCAGTACATGAGAGAACCTGAGATGCTCGGATATACAGAAACTTGCTCCTGAACGAATCTGACCCTTTGATCCTCTCTTCTGTGAGATATATTATCGCTACATCTCAGGTTCATAGAATACATGTTTACAGCCTCTCTGGCGGTACCAGAGAGACCTGGCTTTGATCCCTGGGTCGGGAAGATCCCCTGGAGGAGGGCATGGCAGCCACTCCAGTGTTCTTGCCTGGAGAATCCCATGGACAGAGGAGCCTGGTGGGCTACAGTCCATGGGGTCGCAAACCGTCAGACAGGACTGAGTGACTAAGCAAAGCACAGCACAAATACACTTTAGAAACTATAAAACTATAAAATCAAGGTGCAGAGGAAGACAGGTAGATAACACAGGTGGAAAATCTCTTCTGCTAGAGATTCATGGAGTATTTAAATAGATTAGTGAAAGTTAATTTTGAAAGGTCAGGTTGAAATCACACTGTAGATATCTTATTTTACAGAAAAAATGGTCTTCAAACGGGTGCATGCAAACCAGGGAATGCTCTTGATGAACTACTGGTGTGTGAGAAGCAACTAATTTCTATTTATATTACATGATAACATATATTGGTTAAGCAATATACACATACACACATGCATACATAAAATCTATTTAAAAATTACAAATATATTTTGGGAGTGCAAGTTAAATTTTTTAAAAATGACTGGGATCTACAGTCAAAAAGTTTTTAAACCATTACTGCACTATTGAAGCTTTCTGTGCAAAGCAATGGTATAATATATAGAGTTATTTAGAAAGATTATGAGTATAGTGTGTATTTCTGTATTTTCATGTGCATATGTGTGTCGGTATAACCAGAGAGAGAGAGAGTAGTATTAAATTAGACACTCCTGTTTTTTTGCACTGGTAGGGGCAGGGGAGGGCGCTACACCTTGCAGCATGCGGGGTCTTCGTTCCCCTAACAGGAATCGAACCTGTGCCCCTTGCAGTGGAAGCACAGAGTCTTAACCACTGGCCGCCAGGCAAGTCCCCTAGACACTACTTTCTATTTCTCAATTTATTTTATCACTTACCTGATATTAACCACGTAAACGGTGTAGTTCCAATTCTGGAAGGTTGAATTGAGCTGAAAATACAATGGAAATGGCGAGTTTTAATTAACACTTAAAAAAAAAAAAAAGAAATTTAAATCCAGTTTCTTCTCTCCCATTAATTGTTATTGGAATAAGACCCTGGGAAAATTCCAAACAGCTAAAGGAATGAAAGAAAGGTACAGATAACAGCTACGGAGGCACTGTATGCCAAGAAATTTACCAGTGTTTTCTCTTCCATTCTCACAACAGCTAATGAGATAGGTATTATCTACACTATCTTCCCACCCAAGACACGAAGAAGCTAAGCCTCATGGAGATGAAATAGCTAACCCAGCTGCAACTAAGAAGTAACAGACCCCAGACTGGAACCCAAGTCTGTCTGAATGGAAACATTATACTTTCCTCTTTAGCCTATATTATTAGGGCTTTCTCTATAACAGGCTTTCAAGTTAGCTATAACGCTGAGAACTTATCCACGGCAGAATACATAGGAAAGACCAGCATAATACACACCTTCCACATTCTTCATTCAACAAGCACCGAGGTGCATTAACACATGTTTTTCTAGCAATTACCATCTTATAAGAATATTAGTAGTAAGAAAAATGATAAATTAACAACATAGACCTTTAAAAACAAAGATAAGTTCAACATTATGGAGAACTGTGTCATTGATAATTATGTGGTCATTTAACAATTTTTATGGGTCTCAGCACTAAACTTTTTAATGAAGCAATGGATTCCTTTCCATTAAAAAAGAAAACACCTTACATATGTCCAATACAATCACAAAATATTTTGATTTCTTTACTGACATGAAATTTTCTTATTTATATATCACCTCCGAAGAGTTTTTTTAGGTCTTGTTTCATACACACATTTAGCCTTCCTTGTGAGCGTTTTAAAATTGAATGTAAATTCTAGGAAATTCTGGAAAGAAGCATTAAATTATTTTTAAATTGTAAATAGTAATAATATGAAAGAGGGACACCACTTATACTTTCTCTGTTACCAAACACCTGCTTTCGCATCTTACATCTTAAGGAGAAATGTCCATTAAAGTTTAGTTTCAGATGAAAAGTGATGCTATGTTGAAAACCATGCATGAAATAAAATAAATGTAAAATTATACCTTGCCTAAAGCATAAACTCCCCAATGAATGCTAATTTACAGAATTAATAACATTAGAAGTGGTTCATTTGAGAATGAGAATAAAGAATTCTATCTTTTGACTAACACAACACTGAAAATCAACTATACTTCAATAAAATAAATTTAAAAAACTTTATCTTTTGAAAACATTCTGACTTTAAAAAAGCAGAAAGAATGTGAAAGAAAGCAGGATGCAAGATTAAACTCATTCAGTAAAGCCCTCTCTCTATTTAGAAATTCAATACATCTAGTATTTGAAGTAGCTACTAAGGTTAATATGTCATTCCAGAAACTTGACAGGAGTACTTTTCTTTGGTTTCTACTAGATTTTACTCCCACACCTCAATTTTTGTAACAGAGTTGTTAATTACATACTTTTGTTTTCTGTGGGTAACTTCTTGCAAAGGATGCAGCCTTTAAAAATAAAACTATGCTTTCCTACCATTCTTCAAATATATATACATATATCTGAAGAAAGTATATATACTTTTATATATATATAGTATTATCATCACTATCTCTCAGTGTATGGTTTAACTTTCTTTTATTAAAAATGTGGCCTTAGTATATATGCCCTACCAAATAAGAAACCCATTTTTCTTACTTCAGAATCTATACCCAAATGACAAATTACTTTTTCCACAAAAATTGTCTGAACTGTAGTAGTAAATAAAAGCAGTACAAGGTCCCAAAGTATGCTGTAGATAGGAAATAAAATAATAAAAAATATAAACCTATAGGAAATTAAATTTTTGATATTATATCAGGGAAGGAAAAAATCATTAACATGTATTTATATAATGTATATATATAACACACATTTATAAAATAATAAAATAAAATGTTTAGTTTTTTAAATTAGAAATTACCAAAATTTTCACCAACAGAATACTGGTTAAACAAATTATAACCAAAATACCTAGTACAGTGTAGAATGGTGTGTACAATATTCTATTTTCAATGTAAAAAGAAAAACATAAGAATGATAGTTATTTTCTTTTACATTCACAAATGAATTTTGGAAAAAAAAACAAGAAAAATTCACAGTGATTTCCAAGCAGATAAGCTGGTTTCCAGGCAGATGACTGTCAAGGATGGGTGGAAGGTATTCATGATATACTTTTTATACACTTGGTTTTTGAATCAAAGACTCAAACAGTGCTAAAAATGTATGACTATTACAGTAAACAAAGATACCTCTCAAAATACTTTTCCATTTGTGCTGTTCTTTTCTTATTTGACATAACAGCCCATTAGGCTCACTTTCTTGTCCTTTATTCAACTATACCTCACTTTCTATTCAAAAGTGCAATACTTCACTTACACTTCCATACATTTATAATGAACAGTATCTTTATTTCAGTATGATCTGTGGGTTCAGTTAGAGAGTAGAGTCTTTCCCAGATTTCCAGAGATTAGTTTAAAGACCCAAAACAGAAATTTTACAATCCACTTACCCATTCTGCCACCTTGCTCTGTACTTTCACCTCGGGGTGAGGAAGGATGTTTTGAATCACTATGGAAATTCTATAAATAATCCCATCTGTCCAGTGGAAATAGGATTCAGTCCATTAGTCATATTTTACAGTCATACATTTATCAGCTTACATTTATAATGACATAATTTCATACAAGGGCTTCCCTTGTGGCTCATCTGGTAAAGAATCCACCAGCAAAGCAGGACACCTGGGTTTGATCCCTGGGTTAGGAAGATCCCCTGGAGAAGGGAAAGGCTACCCACTCCAGTATTCTGGCCTGGAAAGTTTCATGGAATGTATAGCCCATGGGGTAGCAAAGAATCGGACACGACTGAGCAACTAAGAAATGCCTTCTCCATAGGTACAGAAATTTTCTGTACAGGTAATTTTCAGTGACCTTGCAACTTTTTAGAAATAGTTATTATTTAGTTTACTTATAGATAAGTCATTGCTTCTAAATTATCACCTATATATGTTCCTTCATAATTCTTAATTCTATACACTTCTCCCTACTGTCTGTTAAACCAACTGTCATGTACACCAAAAATTTCCTGTAACCAAAAATTATCCTTTTCTAACATTATAAAGAATGATAGTTTGAGATGCAAAAACTTGAGTAAGATGATGGGCAGAAATTAATTTGGAAAAGAATAAATATCATGTATTTTTCACCCACAGCTCCTTATTCTCTCTATCCTCTTTCCCCTGCCCCAATAAAGCATTTTCTTCTACTTAAGTTGTTGGGTTCATTTTCACCCAAACTTGTTCCATCAAAATTCTATAAGTGCAGGCATTTGTATCAAGTAAAGGAGGAAAAAAGAATATTTGCAGATGGACTTTTAATTGGACTTGCTTGTAAAAGAAAATCCTATGTCAGAAGGAAGTTGTGCTTTTTTGCAGAAGTGCAATCTTTAAAGCAGTCTGCCATACATATATAGTTTTCTTTTTTTTTTTTTTAATGAAAATCAAATTGACCAGCCAGGGTTTGCTATATTTCTCTAGATATGTGCTAAAGGATATCTTAATACAAATAGTAATGAGAAAAAGATTCTTTTTAAATATGGTAGATCATACAGGAAAAAACATTGATTCTTCATTATTGCCAATCAATCATCTATCTCCATGCTTATAAACATGAGTAAAATACACATGTTGTTTGTTGTTTAGTTGCTCAGTCATGTCCAGCTCTTTTGTAACCTCATGGACTGTAACCTGCCAGGCTTCTCTGTCCATGGAATTTCCCAGGCAAAAATACTAGAGTGGGTTGTCCTTTCCTTCTCCAGGGGATCTTCCCAACCCAGGGATCAAACCTGTATCTCCTGCATTTGCAGGTAGAGACTTTACTGCTGAGCCACTGGGGAAGCCAAAATATGCATAGCAAATGTAAAATATATTATTAAAACAATGGGGAAAAGATTAGTGAAGATTTGGGGGAAGTAGTACATAAAAGTACAAAAGTATGTCTCCTAGGAACTCCCAAATCTACCAAAATGCAAATTCCAGTCACACTCCTAAAGGAAGGTTTTCCAGTACAGGGATCAGAAACTCATGCTTTAAAAAAAAATCACCACTCCCGGATGTAATATGTCTATGAGATCAGTGGAAGTACAAGGATATTTGGTTCAATTTATGCATACTAAGTTATTAGAAGTCCAGCTTCTAAAATTCTTCAGATATTTTAATAACCTTGACTTTATCTTCCCTTAAAAAATATTCTGAATGAAAAATTACAAGAGTGTATGTAAAATAAATTATAATAAGTCAGGCAAACAAACAAACAAATTTACACTGTAGACCTCATTATATCAAATCGTGGACATTCTGAATGACTCAGAGGGAATTTAAGTTCCAGAAGTCCAAGATTCTACACCAATGTTAGGAATCAAGGGGTATTCTGTGCATGTTCCCTGATGCCAGTTAAGTATTAAAACTGACAAGCTACCACTAGATGGAGACCTAAAGCATGTGTCTGTGTTAGGAAATGCAGTCTTGCCCTCTCAGGAGAATCCTGCAAAATATTAAAAATGAGTATTTTTAATCACTCACATTTCTGATATTTTACAGAAGCATCCAAACATTTAAGATTTTTTTTTAAATTTAAATTATTTCTCACTTTTTTTTTCTAATTCACTGTTTTTATAAATGAGAAAGACATTCCATATCAGAGTCAGTCTAAATCCCTATAGGACTCTCCCCAGTGTTATGTTGTTTACAGCAAATAAAATATATGACTATACCAAACAACCTACCCCTAAGCGTTGGAGATTCGCCCATGCTATGGATCTTTTTTCATATAGTCTTGCTTCAGAAGCCTCAGAATGAGATATTTATATATTCAGCAAAAATTAGTCAATGCTGTCTGCTTGTTATACTTATTTAAAATTTTTGGATAATGCAGTCAACAAGTAATCCAAAGAAATGCCCAAGAATGAATTGCCAAAGCAAGATAAAATATCCACTGAAGGTCTGGTGAGAAAGGTTTTGGACAGCAGCGAAATAACTGGCTTAAGCATGCCACTGCAGAAAATGCACAACTGAGACACACCAATGCAGACTTTTCCAGGTCATCCTGGTAATCAAGTCACCTTCTCCTACACATATAACAAATCCTATGGCTTCTCAATAAGAAAGCTATTCACAAATCTTCATCTGTTCCAGAGACTTCAAAAGCTGTATGTATTGTCCTAATAATGACATCCCAGTCTAAAGAATGCATGACACTTTTTTCCAATTAGATGACTTCCAGCCAGACAAAACTTCAAAGCAGAAACCATCACTTGCCATAACAGATCTGGTATCAAAACATATGCCTGCCTGTAGATCTTTTCCTTTTTTAATTTTCTTAACACTCTTCACAGAATTTCTTGGAACATTTAGAAATGAGACTATTCTCCATTCAAGGGAATGAAGTAGGTTCGAAAAGGTGGGTTTTAAAATATACATTTGAAAAGATAGATTTTAAAGTAGAAATTAAAAGCTATTCTACACTGAAGATTACTCCTTTGACTGGTGCATAGGCAACTATGGCAGACAGTGGCATTTATCATATGACTGGAGGACTGCTCATCACATATACAATTTAAGTTATTTGGCATATAAAGCTAGATTGATCGTTGGGTCCACATGAATACCCTGAGAGTAAATTTTTTTGAGTAGTGAAATGTATGTGAGAAATTAGAAGCGGTGATACAATCTGCACTTGTAGGTTTTTAGAAGAATAATAAGGACTAACAAAGTCAGTTCCTTACTTTGATTGCTTGTGCCAACCTCACAAAAGTTTAATATTCAGCAGCAGTACAGTGATGCTTCAAGCATAGAACATATGATTTGGAATGGAAATAATAATAAGTCCAAGAGCTTTTCTTGGGAATGCAGTGGAAAAGGCACAAAAGTTATTTGTGGGAATACCTAACTTGTTCCTCATATTGAAACATGTTTGTGAAAAGGAGCTTAAAAGATAAAATTTTCTTAGTATATAATCTGAACTATCAGATTAAAATCTTAATGAAAAATAACAGAAATAACTTTATGCAAGGGAATATGGACATTTCACAAAAGCCATGAAAACAAAGTCTCTTGATATACTCTAAAAATACATCTCATTGCCAAACAATTTAAATCCCTCATCCCTCCCCACACTAGCATATCATGACTGATGAATTAGATTTCTTTGATAGATTTCTTTGATAGTGCAGAGTTTATAAGACTGGATAAGGTAGATAACAGATCTGATAGCTGTGTATCTTTCTTAACAGTGAACAAAACAGCATTCTCTAATATATCAGATCTGAGGCCTGAGAATGTTTACCACATCAGTTTCCCAAGAAAAGTGTATCTGAAATTGCTGATAGCATGTGAATGATCTCAGATAGTCTAGAATAGGACATTAAATCTCATTTATTCACAAGGTAAACAATTAATTCTCTTTTCAATTATTTCAAATTTAACTACACCAAAGACAAAAAAATTAATTACAGTGGGTCTTGTAACCCTCCCTTTAAAAAAAAAAAAAATGAAGGCTTCAAGTGCTGAGATGTGAGAAAGCAACTGGATATAGAGAGAATTCAGTAGCATTGTTTTCATTATATTTATTTTCACTTTACACTTCTATTTTAAGACAAGCAGCACTAGTTTCAGTTTACAGCTGTGATATTTTCCCATATAAATATAAATGTTTAAGTAAAAAAGTGAGTCAACTTCAGGGGGAAAAAACCTATTATAAATGGTAGAGAGGGTTCAAGGATGTGGTAAAATTGAGATGCTGCACAAATTTGGGTACACAATTTGAGACTATTTCTACAACATGAGGACTTTCAAATATTTTTAAGTGCTCAGATTACATTCTTTATCAAGCATGATCTGAATTCGAGTTTTCTTTCTTTAAAGTGGCCAAATCAAACCATGTGAACTGATTCTAACATTTGCTTTTTTTGTTGAAACGCCCATGAAGGTTATGACGCAGAGAGAGATGCACTGAACAAGGCTCTCTTCAAGAATGTCAGAAATGACATGATTGAGTGAATACAGCTCCACTCCACCAAGGCGAGGACTCTGAAGCATCATGTAAACGTTCTTGGGCAGTAAAGGATGTGCCAGTCCTGGAGGGAGAATGCCACAGAGGCTCTTTGTATGTTCATACAAAGAGTGAAATACTTAGTTAGAATTATAATATTCCCATCTACTGGCTAGAGTCCATGTGAAATATGCACTGGAAATTTCAGCTGCTTTTGCTTTCTTGGGGGTTGCTGGAATTTTTGCTCCATCATAAATCTCCTTGGCCTAACTACCAGAATAACCATAAACACTTCCCTGAATCGATGTCTTTATAACCCTAATGAAATTTTTATCTACGTTTCATGTAAAATATTCCATACTTTCAATTTAAATGTCCTTACAGAGGAAGTTGATATAACCCCCAAAGCCAAAAGAAAAAACGAACTATGCCGGTTTCTCTTCTCTGGGTTTTGGTTCCTGGTGATACATCACAGATGTCTTGGCCTTGCAAGTTAAATGATTGAGGTTGAGAAAATTCCTTTGTTTCTAATACCTCATACTTGAGAATATTACTGTGTTTGAGGCAATGGTGTGCTCACCTGATTGGAATTTCTCTTTTTCAGAAGAAACTGAAACCATTTACTCTGAATTACCAAAAAGCTATGGATGTAGTCAATATAGGTAGCAGATTAAATAATCAACCTGACATTTCCCCGGTTCATTTCTTATCTTATTGTAACTTTGCAAATTATAAATAATATAAACAGAAATGTATTTGTACAAGGGAAAAACAGGAGGTATTGGCAGTTACTTGAAGTTTCGTCAGTCAAAAAATTGATATATAATTTAGTTAATATCCAATCACATTCTAACTATGGTGTGCGTGTGCGTAGTTGCTCAACTGCGTCCGACTGTTTTCAAATCCATGGACTGCAGCCCACTGAGAGCCTCTGTCCATGGGATTCTCCAGGCAAGAATACGGAGGGAGCCATTATTCCTCAGCAAATAAAAACAAAGAGCAAAGTATTACTGTATAAAAATGATCTAAAGGTCACAAATGTTTGAACATAAAGTTGGCCTCAGTGAGAAATTAAATTACTAAAAGTATGTAGCTTTTTGAGATTACAAAATTCTTTAAAACCGGTTTCTTTAGAGAATAATCTGACAGAATGCTATAAATATTTTTCTTCTCGGGTCTCTAGTATAATGCAAACTCATTCCTTTTAACTAGTCTTTCTCTGAAAGCTTCCTTTGAAAGAAATTTTAGCTAAAATTCATAGATGTGATACTAGATGTGTACTCATGCCATTGGTTATTCGGGAAACTCAAGGCAATCAAATGATATTTATTTTACCAGTCTTGCAAATGTACAAATGTACCAGTTGATTCTAACAACAGACACTTTGTTGAACATTAGATATTTCCACCTTTGGAATAGAGGTGTTCAAGTCAGACATAGCACGAATATAAAAGGTAACGATTTCTTACCATTCCTTTGTTTATCGGTTCTGTTAGTAACAGGCATGTTAGTGGTGACAGTGGGTGATGCAGTACTAGCAGGGTTTACAGTAGCTGGTAATAAAGATGAGAAAGATGTAATTTTGCAAAAAGCACATGAAAGTTAATATGGATAAGCAATCTATAATTGATGCATGAAAATATATAGAGGAGGAACAGAAACCATTTCTTGCCACTAAACACAAGTTTCAAGGTTATAATGTATAAAACGAAGCAATGCCTTCTATAGCACATTAAGAATCTGTTCCCATGGTCTTTGGTGCCATCGTGTACAAGAGTCTGAAACTGGCACAAAGAGAATGGAGAAAGAACATTCAGATTCTAGACATAAGTTTGCCCTCAAGAGGCTGATGATCACACAGCAAATGAATAAACCTTCCTAGAACTCAAGTCTCCTAAGTCTATAAAAAGAAAGGCTAGAGAAGGAAGTCTGAACACCACCTGTCAGCTTGAAAATTATCTAAACTAAGTTAGTCTTTCTGATATAGTGAGAGTAGCAAAATAAAATTTCAGAAGAAAATATACTTCTCCTATAAGGAAGAAAAAGAGAATGAAATGTGTGGATGAAATCAATCATCTAAAGATCCCAATAACTTTACTAAATACTGATGGACAAAATGGATTTCATAAGGGCAAGCCTTACAGGAGGGATTTTTCAAAGCAGTATGTCAAAGCTATGTTTCTGATTCTACTAAAACTCAAAGATTAAACCCTATGTAACGCTTTGGTAATATCTTTCTAAAGGATTCTGGAAGAACAATGTAAGTAGTAAAATAACTGTACACATAATTTTCCTTTAGTTTATCTTAGGAGTATATTTGTATAAGATGTACATTTCTATTTACAATAACTATCTGTTACATATTTCTTTTAAATGGACTTCCCTGGTGACTCAGATGGCAAAGAATCCATCTGCCTGCAACAAGGGAGACCTGAGTTTGATCCCTGGGTTGGGATTTTTTAATTAGAAAAAATTAACTAAATTTAAAACATTTCAGTAATTATAAAAAGAATTACCTTCCAAAGGATCTTTAGAAAATATTGAATTCCTTATTCAAAATGTCTATTCTTAATTAAAATAATTTTTTCATTTCAAAATAATATACAACACTTAAGAAAGAGGATTCTTTTTGAAATCTTTTGTATTTTTAAATTGTGAACAGTTATATTTATGTAATGCAAAATACATCTAAGTCTCAGATTAACAGAAAAAAATAAAATAAAAATTAAAAAAAAACCTTCATGCTTGAACTAAGCAAAATTAAGGCTTTTTAAAATTTCATTTAACTATTTTCAAACCACACTGAGTTGATCAAAAGAAACTACTTAATGACTTTATTATCTTAAGGTATTCATCGACAATAATATCAAGAAATAATGTCTCAGAAAAGAAAAATAATAATGAGTTGCACCCCTTCTCCCTGCCTACCCTACTTCCATAGTGAAACTATAAAAGAGAGCTTAGGTTTCTATTCACTTAGTCTCACTTCTAACCCGTCACTTTAATCCTATGACCTTCTTAAAAAAAGATCCAACTTTACAAAAGGCATGGTCATGATTCTTAATGTGGCATATAGAAATGCTACTTCAAAAGGAAGTATATAATAGAATAAATGGATGGAAATGGGTCATGGATAATCAGAAGAAGCAATGACAAAATTAGAGCAAAATATTTTAAAACTTATGCAACTATAGATTATTCAGCATGCAATTATTCAATACATAATATATAATTATAATACTGATCATAGTATAGTCATTATGGACTGTAACAATTAATAAAATTACATTCATATTAGTAATAAGATAACTATTTTTATCTTAATATTTAAGTTACATTGCACATCATAAATTGCCTCATGGCCTTTCTTAAGCTTAATTGACTATTCAACTTAATTTTTCCTCTTGTTTTTTAGACATGAATACTTTTTCAAAATATTATATGGCTATATTTATACTGAACAATATTTTTGAGACGAAATAGAGGGAAAAAATGAAGTCAACCCTTCCTAATAGCATATAATTATTCACATTTTAAAAACTCAGTGCTTTATGGAAATGTGGTCATCCAGTGTGTGAATGCATTCTTTCTCTACACTGTGCACCCACACAACTAAAACACATCCAGAAATTCTTCTGGTTTGTTGGTTTCTGGCTTCTTAAGTGAAAACGAAGATAAAATTCAAAACAATGACAATTACATTTTCCAAAACAGCAAGTAGGAAACAGACACTCCAGAGGACGATGTTGACTCCCTACCTTGGCAGAGGGTCCCCAAATCTGCACAGCTGGCTAATTCTGCTGCTGGGAGTGGAATCAGGTAGGAACCTTGATCAACACAGAAAGATTGTACAAATATGACTTATGATTTAGTGATAATATCCAGACAAAAAAATTCATGAATCATTTGGTTGGTGTAAAAAGGTCAGCCCTGGGAGAGTCCACAGGTAATATTTTAACATCAAGAAAGTCTCTGTGTCTTAATTTCCACAAATGTAAAATCAAGCTATTGAAATTTCTCTCAAAATCTTTAACTCAATCTACTGACCCTATCCACACACGAAAGGAAAAGAAGTGCTACTACCCCTTAAACTGTGCATAAAGAGTTTAGGACCTTTTCACAAAACAAATTATAAAGTTTTGGTGGAAATTTATACAAATGAAATAATAAGAACATGAAAAATAAGTTTCAAAAGTGAACATGGATATTATTATTGCTCATAAAATACATATTTTTGGCTCACAGGTCCTAGCACATACTAGCTGCAATTCCAGAAATAAGTTTCCGTGACTTCAAGTTGGTCTCTGTGCCTTTTTATTTCAAGTTTTGCTGACTCATCCTCAGCAGGAAACAAAATTTGAGCTGATTTTCTAGTAGAAATAGTGGATTTTCTCTGTTGCACTAAATCTCTCTCTGGCTATTAACAGGCTTTTATCAACAGGTTGAGTATGAGGAAGATAGGCTAAACTTATCACAAAGCATATTTTACTATGATTAAGGACAGAAGAGTAAATACAAACATATACATACACATAAATCTTTGGCCACCTAATGCAAAGAGCCAACTCATTGGAAAAGACCCTCATTCTGGGAAAGACTGAGGGCAGGAAGAGAAGGGGGTGAAAGAGGATGAGATGGTTGGATGGCATCACAGACTCAAAGGGCATGAGTTTGAGCAAACTCTGGGAGATAGTGAAGGACAGGGAAGTCTGGCATGCTGCAGTCCATAGGGTTGCAAAGAGTCGGACATGACTGAGAGATTGAACAACAAGAAAATGCACATATATATACATACACACCTATACTGAAGTTTTAAAGAATATTTCTATAATAGTAACTATATTCTAATATTTAAACATTTTCCAAACCTTCTGTGGCAATGGTACATGAAGAGAGAAGAGGTACATGAGCCAACAAAAGATGTCTAATTAGATTAACTGTGTGCATAAGCAGAAAGCATCCAAACAATTTAGCAGCATCTCAGGAGCATAGTTTCTTCATTCTTAATTGCCTCAAGGAACTGGCCCAAGAAAGAAATCATTTTATTTTAGAAAGAGCCAACCCTTGGGCTTCTGGTCTGTGATGTTAGCTAGCAAGAAGATTTTATTACAGACCTTTACATGTTCATTCAATAAACATTCATTCGCTATTAACAGTACGACAGACAGGGAGACTAGAAGAATGCTGTAAAACTATGTCTCTGCTCTCAGAGAGACATGAATGGGAGGTGGCTTCACCGTTTTAACAGAGAAATATAGATGCATAGTGGGCCAAAGGAGCATGTGGCCAGCAGTTTGGTGAGAAGGGTGAATAAAAAACCCTTTACAAAGATTAGCTAGATGGTTATTGCTGGCAGACTGAATTAGAGAGACAAATTTCCAGAAGAAGGCTTCCCAGGTGGCACCAGTGGTATAGAGAACCCACCTGCGATGCAGGAGATGCAAGAGATGTGAGTTCAATCCCTGGGTCAGGAAGATGCCCTGAAGGCAGCCATGGCAACCTACTCCAGTATTCTTGCCTGGAGAATCTCAAGGACAGAGGAGCCTGGCAGGCTACAGTCCACAGGGTCACAAAGAGTTAGACACGAATGAAGCAACTTAAGCACGCACATGTGCATACCAAGAATGTAGTCAAACCGTCTGTGAACCCAAACGGCATGGCATTTCTAGAGGAGGACATTTGTAGAAAACTGGTAGGAATGATCAGATATAGAATGGACAGCTGTACGGGGCCTTGTAGAATGCAGGCACTATGAACTCTAGGACTTTGTGTCTTTCTTCCGAAGGTGTATCCCTCACACATAGTAGCTGGGTCCTCAACGTTTACTGAATAAATGACTGAATGCATTATGAATGACTATGAACATTTTGAACTCTTTCTTAAAGGAAATGGAAAAAGCAAAAGGGAATTTGGTGAGAAAATTAGATTTAAATTTAAAAACAATCAGTTTTGAAGCTCCATAACTAACTAAAAGAGAGGAGTTACAAGAAGCCTGAATAAGACTAATAATTCAGGGTTCATATCACAAGTCCATTGAGGATGGACAGAAAGATGGATACAAGACTTGAAGATGAAATAGATAGGGTTTGTTTAGTGACTAATTGAAGAATGAAGAAAGAATATGAAGAACAGAAGAAAATTTTTCTAATTTTCAACTTGAGAAATTGGTACATAATGGTCTCAGACAGTAAATGCTGGAAGAAAACCAAACTCAGGTGGGGTGGGCTAAAAGTAAGTCCAGTAATAGGAACTGAGGTATCACGTGTCATCTGGTACATGAGCAGGTGTATATGTTTTTGTAAGAGATCTAGCAAGGAAGTACTCCACAGAAGCTATAGATGTGTTTGGGATCACGTGAGTGAGGGTGTAGATTTGATGGAACCACAGATTTCCTATATTTAAGTGTCAGATTTTTTTTAAAAAAGAGAGAGAGCTATAGATTTGAGAAGGCAAAAATAGCTCTTGTCAATGATTTTACAGAATTCAAGTTAAGAAAGTTTCATGGAGGGTGTGGCCACATCGAGTACACAGTAAGGTCCACAATGATAAAGACTGAGAAGACCCTTCACTTTGGAATTTCGCTAACAGCTCTACAGAAATTCCCTTCAGTAGCGTGGGAACAATGAATTCTAGATCTCCAATGTTTGAGAAGTGAATGCAAAAAAGAGGAAGCCTGGCTACGAAAGGAAGCAGAGATGGGGCGGGCGGGGGGCCGTGTTAAAGATTAAAAACTTAACAGCAAGTGTACTATGGAGAAAGAGTGTGTGAGAGGTAGAAGCTGAAGCCAGCCTAGAATTTGATCTTGAATGTTTTCTGCCCATTATTTCCTCCCATCACACTGAACTGACGCCCCCTTCTTGCAGGACCTTACTTCTCCTTTAGGTATTTACATTTTAGTAAGGAACTTTTGAACACTAAAAAGCTCTTAAAACGTAAAATGACTGAGGAAATCTCAGCCAACATAACATGCAAGAGAGGAGACCCTTAAATGGAGTTCCTTCGCTGCACATATCACACACAATGTTGGCAGACACAGGCTCCTAGGGCCACTTCTGGCACTGATAGAGTATCTCTGGAAGACAAAGCGAGATAAGGGAACAACATTGTGGGAAAGAAGCTTTCGGGCTAACTACACATCCACCGCAGGGTATCAAACAGCTGAGAGGTGGAACTAAGGAAAGAAAATCAGAAGACTTAGGATTTAGAGTAAGACACCTCACAATTTTCTTTAACATTTCACCAGTTTGATTTCATGGTAGCAAGTCTAAATTTCACTCTGTGACATACCTGTCATGGAAAATTGTAACATTTGTTTCTCAGTATTATCAGTTGTTGCTTCCTGGATACTTTTAGTTTAGCAAATTGACGATGCTTTATAAATACTTTATAAATGCTGTTTTATGATGATTCAGTATAGCAACAGGAATTACATTTGAAGTCTGTTTCAGTGAAAATGGTTTGAATACAAGTGACAGATTTAATTAGAAAGGCCCGGAATATTGATAAATGAAATCTTACATTACAAATACACCAAATTACATGAACAAATAAATAAACTATTAAAAATGTGCACAAACTTTTCATTTGCAGTCAGTTCAGTTTCTGGCATATCTACATAGAAAAGTCATTCTTCCAATTGATTCTTCTAGGTGGATAGATTTACAAACCAGAAGACTGTTAAGGAAGAAGAGACAGTTCTTTCTCCTGGATATATTGATCATTAAGAAATTGCTTTCAGAATATGACCTATGTATAGCCTCTGGTATTTGTGGATAGTACAAAGGGATTTAAAGGTATCCACTTAATATTAGCCGCAAAAATTAAAGCCAAATTTCCTTTAAAAATGTAGTCTCTGAAAAAGGGCAGTTGATGAAAAGTTATAAAGCTGTTAATCTTTCTTCTCTATATTTTATTCTTCCAAAATCTTGCTACAGAGAGGAGTCAATATTTATACAACTTGTAGTAAAAAGAGACTGACTTAGCTAACCACTCATCTCACACCCTACTTAATGACAATCCAAACAATAGTTGACAAAGCTAAAACTCTCATGTGAGTTGCACTAGTAAGACAAATATTAATTCCTTCCAATTTCCCCTTTGTAACTGTTACTAAATTGAATTCAAATTTTTCATAAATGCATTTAAGATTATTTTTGGATGCCACTTATGCTCATAAAGAGTTTGGGCATCTTCAAAAGATAAAGTCTTTCATAAAAATAAGTGATTTCATCTTTGTTATTTAAAAAACTTCAGTCATCTAAAAATGCTACACTCAATAATTTGTTAGGAATGAAGTGAAGGAGCCAATAGTGAAATCAGAGTTTTATGGCTCTGAGGGACAGAACTGTAACAACTGAAAATGAAAGGATAGGAATCCAAGAGCTGATGAAGTCTTGGTGATTAAGTGTAAAATTTCAGAGAGGAAAACAAAAGTCAGTCCAAATCCAAAAATGTCTAGAAAGGAAAAACATCAAAGTTGGATACTTGTGAATTATATCTTATCTCTACATTCACAATGGTTAATAAATGGAAGTGATTAATAAATGCTTGTTAAGTAAATGTAATTTGTTTGAACTTAAACTATTCATTGAGTTATACAGTACCACTCCTCAGGAAAGTCTAGTCATCAGTAAAATAGATAAAACTGGTATAGAAGGCACTGTCCTTTGTGAAAATTGATGGACATTAGCCACCTAAAACTGAATCATGGGCTTCCCTGATAGCTCAGTTAGTAAAGAATCCTGCCTGCAATGCAAGAGACCCTGGTTTGATTCCTAGGTCAGGAAGATCCACTGGAGAAAGTAAAGAATCCGCCCATAATTCCAGAGACCTGGGTTTGATCCCTGGGTTGGGAAGATCCTCTGGAGGAGGGAAATGCTACCCACTCCAGTATTCTGGCCTGGAGAATTCCAAGGACTGTATAGTCCATGGAGTTGCAGAGTTGGATACGACTTTCACTTTCACTTTGCACTTTCAAACCTGAATCATAACACAGGCAAATGGTTGAGCTTATAATTAAAGAGCCCATCAGGGAAACCGTCTATCCACCGAGGTTATAAACTCAGTACTGTTCAATAAAATTGTCTTAAGAAAAAGAATGATGATATAAAAAGAAAAAGAACTGTTGCTAAATAAAGCATTTCTTCCTGAAAAGAACTGACAAGATTAACCATATTAAAAAAAAAAAAAAACTTGCCGAAAATCAATTATATTTCAATTAAAAAAAAAACCTGTTGAAAATTTCTTAATTAGATATATTCCCTAGCTGTGCTTAGAACAGCATGGGAAAATAAAAATACAACTATAAAATTATTTAAAAATTTAGTAATAACCTGTTGATTTTATTGCTAGGATAGTCAATATTTGAAACAAAAGGCAGGATGCTTTAAAAGGAGTCAATTCAGTTCCATAATCTTTTTTTCATATTAAAATTTACTTAGCAAGAGACCTTTGGAAAAATCAATTCATTTTCTGTCACAAGTTGATTCTGGAATGAAAGTTCATATTTAACAGATACTGTCAAGCCAATGGAATGTTAGGCATGAAATTCTATTTTCCTATTGGTTACTGTACTGATCATTAGTTTTGGGAACTTACCATTACCATAAACAGAAAGCCACGGTGTTCCGGAAAAAAGGAAAGGTTAAAATGTTAATAGAGCACACATTTTCTCATTTATTCAAGTTTTGCTTAAGTAACAAGCTTAGATATAATCTGTTACAGGTATTTCCTGTGAGTTAATAAGTGACTTGGGTTCTTCAACTCCCAAAGCTTATGATTAAGCAGCAGGAAACTCCCTCTCCCGCTCTTACTGTTGAAACACAGTCCAGGATATCTGAATGTACGGAACGGGGGTGCTGAGAGTCACTGAGGAATGTCAAGAAGAGGAACTCAGACACTGACTGTGTGAGCCTGTGCTACTGCTTTGAAGTCATTCTGAAAACTTACTGATGGCTAAGCTCCACAAGCATGTGTCTGATGCCTTCCAGTAATCGTAAGGCTTGGAAGGGAGTCTTAAAGACCGTGTTAAAGAAAATATGAGAATTCCCAAATAGATGAGAATTCCCTGGGCAAATGGACAGGAGACGTGCATTTTAGCCTCCCAACTGCCTCAGCCACTTATTTTATCTAAGCTTCGATTTCCTGCCCTGTTTAAAGTGAAGGGAGTGGCCTAAATTGGGATTCCCAAACATAAGTGCCTCCCTGGCCCAGAAGCTTATCTAAACAGGGCTGGTGTGGGGAGAAAACCGGGGGTGGGGGGGTGGTAAGGGCCAAGGGGACCTCGAAAGCCCCTTCAAAGGAGGCCGTCACCATTTAGCTCCAGCTGTGTTGGTCAGGCAGTCAGACATACTAAGGTATGTATTTTTTTTTTTAAACCAGGGAATCCAAAAATTCATTTTTATGTGAAATCTAGTTTTTTAAAGTTGAAAATCAGTCATTATTTAAAAGTACTGCATGGAAATGTAAATAAATGAAAAGAAATCAATGTTGTCACCACTCGTGCCTATGGGCTAAATGAGCCCTAAGTGACTGGCCTGTTATCTCTGGCTCAAGAGATCTAGCGGGTCTTTCCCAGTATTGCACGAAGTGTGTGCTTCAGAAAACGTGACCCTTTGATTTTTTGGTCTAGTTTCAGGGGTTGGCAGATTTTCTTTAGGATGATGGGCCAGGTCATCTCTCAGAATCAATCTACTCTGTGCTGGAGCACAGAGGCAGCCACAGGTGATAAAAAACCTATGTTCCAATAAAACTTTAGTTACAAAACAAGTGACCTACCATAGGCCCTTCTCATTTGCCAATGTCTGGCCTAGAGGATTTCTTAGGAGAAGTTTAGGAATTTTGTATACTAGATTCCTCATATTTTATTATAATAAGGTATTAAGCACTGGAGGGGGGAAAAAAAAAACCCTATTAATTTTGTTTAAAACAAATACCATGCTAATACCTGAGAAAGCTAGTGTTCTGGCCAGCAGTGCTTTCTGTAGCCAGAGATGGCTCCTGGGCCTCTGTCCTCCTCATCTAGACAAGAACTGGCTTGCCTACTCTAGCAGGACATCTTGTCTTCTAGTTCTGCTTATTCTCAAAGACAGTTTAGGGAAACACAGTTCTAAAACTGAACATTTTGGCTTCAATTTCTGACTTGGCTACTTATTAATTAAATGACCTAAAACAAAACAAAACAAAACAAAAATAATAAATGACCTTGGAGAAGCTACTTAAGCTCTATGTACCTCAATTACTCATCTGCAAAATGGGGTTAATCATAAAACTCACCTCATGGCATTTGTGTTGCAGGAATAAGTTACAATGTATAAAGTGCTTAAAACAGTACCTAGAGCACAATACATATTAAAGCAACATCTAAGTATCTAGCAAGTATTAATATACATAGCCAAATTCTTTTTCTAATTTTCTTCTGATGGTCATAGTTCTCAAATACCATAGAAATGCAAATGTTAAATAGTCTATATTATGATTTTTAAATAATGGCCAACAATATGATGAAAACAGGGCCCTAAAGATAATCTCCTTGACTGTAAGGAAGTGTACCACTGACCTCTCCTCACCGTTCACCACCCCACACAAAACACACACACTTGATTGTCTCAATTTCCTTAAGGAGTGAAAGACTTCTCAGGAGTCCCTGAAGATTGTCCTCGGTAGACAGTCTCAGACTGAGAGGATGTTGGTTTACACTCTTAACTCTTACAAAGTCCCAGAGTCTCCTTCTGGAACAGGGCTGTGGTTTACCCTCTTTTCAACAACCCACAAGGAAATGCCTCTCAAGTGACATCACATAACAGCCTCCCACCATCTGCAGGGGCACCGTGGACCACACTGGGAGATGGGCTGCCCACACAGGGAAGTGGGTGACAGGAGTTCCCCAGCTGGAAGGGCAAACACAGGTCAAGGATATAGGACAGGGGCCTCAGGTCTTCAGCATGGGTCCTATTTTGTTGAAAGTATTGGGAATCAAGTTGCAATAGAATTCCCTGCAAAATCACTTACAGATGACTTTTGAATATTAGGCCCCTTCTTTGCCTCCTTTATTGAGTTAACTCTGCGACTAAAGAACATGTTATCAACACTTTAGATTTAGTCATGTGACATTGAAAGTTGATAATGACCTTTTACTTTTTATATCTCAGTCCTAGAGTAAAATAAGGACTTCCAGAATTGACTTATGTACATAGAGAGTACTTTATAGAAGTCTTTCTTAATGTAATTGTTATAACATGGAATTATATCTCTAAATATTTTGCAGTCGGCTACTCACAATAATAATGCATTTAAAGTCTCTCAAAGAGCAACCAAAAAGAGAAGAGTATTTGAAACAGACAACAAATGCTCATTTTCAAATAAGTGGGGGGAAAAAAAGAAAATTGATAATTCCTGACTATCAAGATTTTCCATAAAATGTACTGTTCTGATATTGGCTAAATACATACCATTCTTTAAGGTGATAGTTGTTTAAGTAATGTAATGGAAACTGCATTCCAGGATGACAAAGATCAGTTTTTCACTATACCATCTTTGTGATTAAAAACTGTAACATTAATTTCTTCTGTTTTGGTTCTGGAGTTAACATTTCTATCTAAGACACAATAATTGCAACTGTTGTTTATACTTGGGGAAAACTGATATTTTATGGCATAGGAAAAACTTAAAAATGGTAGGACCGAAAGCCTTAGTTGAATATGTATGGTTTGTAATCATATACAAAGATGTCTGTCTATATAATTTCTTGTTGACAAACATATTCACAGAACAATGAGAAAAAAACAAAAAAGAGTGGCTATGCTACAAACTTACCACAGCTGAGGTTGCTTTCAGCTTTCAGGGCTAGGGTTGGGATATTCCAGAAGTCATTTTGCCAGTCCACCACATTCCCTTTCACACTGCAGCTGAGGTTGGAGAGGATTTTGGAACTCACGGTAAAATTCCAAAGTCGAAAATTATAAATGTCCCCTTTGAGAGAGCCAATGTCATGTTGGTTGGAGCCCAGCAACAATTTCCCATTCCCGGGAATAACTTTACTAATGGTAGAATTGCATGAAACTGTTCCATAGTTTCTTTTGAAATTTACACCAATGGTGCCCAAAGAGCTACTCCAAACAATGCAGAGCTGCTCAAAGCTTTCTGTGAAAATATCTTCCTTACCTTTCACAGGTAAAGCACTGTTTAGTAAGCATTTTGAGCCAAAAAATGATAGAAAGTAGCCAGTCTTGGTCTTTCCGAAACTGAGCAATTGTGGGAAGGATGCACCTGAGTAGGAGAAAGCTATCCATTCGCTGTCTTCTTTGCCCATTTTGGTTGCTTCAAAGCAGAGTGTGAAAGCTCTGAGCTCTGGAATAGAGACACTTTTTGCAACAGATACCTGGTAAGAATCAAGTGACTGGGGTAAAATGACCTTTTGATTCCTTAAGGACACGGCCACTAGAACAAAACACAGTAACAGATAAAGTGTGTTAACTTCGGACATGGATTAGAGATGCAAAATGTCTGAGCCCTCCAACCTCCACCCTCTCTGCTAACTGGCTTTTACCCACCGCGTGCCCCACCCTCTCCCCTTTCTCTGCCCACCACTCTGCACTGCCAACCCAGTACCATATGCCAATACCAATACCAATAAGAAACCCCACCCATTTTAACTCTAGTCATAGTTGGCTCTCACGCCTAAATCTTCCAGTTCTAGCTTCCAAAGTGATGCTTTTTTTTCTTTTTTTAAATCCCTGAACTGAAGGAGATTAAAAAAATTAAGGAAACTACTGGTTTCAGGAAAGTTCATACATTATGATTTTTAAAACTATGTTTCTTTTCAAACAGTTTTTAAACATAGTAGCTAATAGTTCTGTGTTTCACTAACCATCACCTTTAATTCGACCCAAACACTCCTATGCTACCCTTTCCCTTTGGATACTCCATATCTTACTAGTCTTCTCCATATCAGGTTATTTTAGGATCAAAGACAAAGACAATTCCATTGTAAAAAAAACAAACAAACAAACAAAAATGGCATTTTAAGACACATTTCCTTGACTTCTGGGCATGTGAGCTAATTTCTGAGACAACACGGAGCAAAGGTTGAAGGACAGACATTGGAGCTCCCTTGGCCAAGTCATTCTGCCTTAGCCCCCATGTCTATAAAATGAAGGGAAAGGCACCAATTATATATGTGGTTAATGAGAATTGAATAAGGTAATACCTGCAAAGCACCAGAGCAGTACCTGTGCCAAGCTGTATATAGCTATTACTGATTACTAATATAGATGACTATTATTATGTGCATAATAAAATTTAAAATGTATTAGCCTAGTCCTTCTGTGACATACATAAAATTATTAAGTAATACAATGGATTTCATTCTGGGCTCAAACAATAGATATTGGTAAACATTATGTACTGACTTGAGAGAAAAGTAGCTATTTACACTGGCTTCATATGAATGCTAGTTTGAATATATTTTAATACACATCAAGAATAGCTCTATAGTAAAAAAACATCTTGTTAAATGTAAATATTCTGGTCAAAAACCCATGATGGAGTTGAATGAATCATAGGGTCACAAAAGAGTCGGACACAACTTAGCGACACAACCACCTACCCAAAAAGATACAGTATAAACCCAGTATTCTATATGCATTGTGAAAATAAAAAGGCCAGAGGGAAATATGTCCATCAACATTTTATTAGTAGTTATGGCTGGGTGGTAGATGTGTAGGTAACTCTAATTTTTTTTTTAATTTTCAAATTTCCCATAATATTTTATAACCTTAAAACATTATTTGAAAAATTAAAGCATGTATGTTTCAGTTAACCACATAAATATCTAATGTCAATCACAAACAGTAAATAAAGATGTCTGTCAAAAGCACAAATTGTAATAAGAAGGGTCAGGCATTTCCATAGTGCTGCCTTTCCTTTTTGTTTCTTTTTTTGAAAAATAAAGCCTACTTAAGTAGATCAGGATGGAAAAAAATTATTACTAAATCTCATAGTCTTGAAACTTGAGTTTTCTTTCAGCACAGAAAGGTTCTAGAGAGAATGGTTCAATTTCAATGTTCTGCTGTGCCAGAACCTAGGAAATATGTCTGATAAAAATATATTTCTTTCTTTCAATTAGCCATTTTCAAGGGGCTTTCCTCAGGCTATGTTATTTATTAGCTTCAGTTACACAAAGCTCATTTTACATGTTAATGTATATGTTTCTTATATTTGTTCTCCAGCATAATTCCTTAAAAGAGCAACATCTTAAAAGCTTAAAATAAAATGATTTATAAATAAGAATACTTTGAATGATTGCTGGAGAGATATTAGAATTAGAGTCAATTATTAGCTGTGGTATATTCACAGAATCTTTCAAACAGCCTTTAAATGTTCTGCATGTAAACACTAGAAAAGTGTTTCAGCTCTACTATAACCAGATTTTGGGTCTGGTAACTATATATTGCTAATGAGAATGCTCAGAAAATACGAACAGATTCCTGCTGCCCTTAAATTCTAATCCTAATCATTCATATTCACATAAAAGAGCACAACTCTGTCCTCTGGGCCTTGTGTTTATTGCTGAACATGATAAATGAAAGCAGAAGTCTGGCGCCGCCTTTGGTTTACATACCTCTGATGTAGCTGGCATTGAAACCTTTCTTCTGGATGCTAAAGTCACTTGAGAAAGACACATGCATCTCATTCGCACTTGAGTTAAACGATAGGCCTTTGGCAGTTGCTCCACAAAACTTCGTCTGGCTCTCTCCATTATCAAGGGATAATGAGTCATAAATGCAATTGGGAGCTTCTTCAATGTCGAAGTCATTAAACGTTATCTGAATGATATAGCCCGTGGGGGCTCGGAGGGTCCACATGCAAGCCTGGCTGTTGGGGTAGTCGTGAGGGTAGCAGGGAGAAGTGAAGGTCCCGGAAGCGCTAGAGAGGACCACCCTGCAGTTGGCACATGCCCATACTGTGGGCCAGACAAAAGAGAGACGGAGAGAAGGGCTGGGTCAGAGGTGTGCAATAAACCGGGATACCACGCTCAGGGGACTATCAAGCAGCAAGCATTTGTAAATAGCAAAACACAATCATCAACACGAAAAGGAAAATGAAACCATCTCAAGGAAAAAAAGAAAAACCAAGAGAGCAACAAAAAGTAAAAGGAAGATACGCAATTTTAGAGCAATGATTTTTTTAAACTTGGGGGGGGGGGTCATAAACACTGAGAATCTGATACAAGTCAGGGGAACTCTCTCCAGTAAAATGTACAGGGTCCCTGCACCTGGCATACAGTTTCAGGGAGTACATGAAGTCTTAGGAGGTAACACTCTGGATTTCACAAAGGTTCACTGACTTTAATCTTAAAGGATTAAGGATCTCTTCTCTAGAGACTGAGCTAGGGTGGAGGGGATTTTACAGAACTATAAATGCAGAGCAATATTACAAAACTTGGAAGAGAAAGACTTAGGAAATAAATGTTTAAAGAGAAAGCTAGCTAGTAGTACAAAAAAATTTGACAAGTTATCATCTGGCAAATCACATTTTTTTCTAAAATTCAAACACAGCATTACTGTGGAGAACAGTGTGGAGATTNTGTATGGCAAAAACCACTACAATATTGTAAAGTAATTAGCCTCCAACTAATAAAAATAAAAAAAAAAAAAAAAACCAAATACACAGCATCACCTTGCTTGTGTGAAGTACTTATAGTTTTGAAAAATACTTTCACTTCTTCCACTTGTTGATTTTAGTTGGCAATTATATACCTCTATGATTATCTCATGAAGTCATCCACTCAGTGAATATTTATTGAATGTCTTCTCCATGCCAGGCACTATTCTAAATAGTATATGCCATGAGCAGGAAAGACAAAGTCTCTGTCTGAATGATTCTTACACTTCAGTTTTGGACCCAAAGATACAAACAATAGTATAATGACAGATAATAATTAAGAGGAAGAAAGAAAAGTAAAGCAATCAATTATTTCTCAATTATTAGTTACCTAGAGCCTGGTCACCAACTAGAACCAGAAACCAAGATCTACTGTCTTTCTATTTAGTGATGCTTTTGAAATTAATATTCATGTTGCTTTTAAACATTTATGTAAATGTAGGCAGCAATCTCATTTATTCAACATTCTGGATAAATAAACTGTCAAATAACTGATCACATACACTTTCAAACAGTAAAAGACTTCTACTGTGTTAATGGAACTCACTCTCAACTTCCTGTGTTCTTCCCTCTTTTACTGGGTTGAGTAGAATGAATATACAATAACTTTTCTTAAAAACGGTAGTTAGTGTAAGTATTGACTTATCCTTCTATGATGCAGTGATATATTCAAGGATTTAGATGTGTTATAATACATTGCTCAAGGTAGAATTTTCTTTTTTCCTGTCCCTGGGGCCACCTTGTGTCATGGAGGGGTTTGTCAACTCTGCCCCACATCCATTCTTTCTAACTTGCCCTCCATCCAGTTCCTCCTCCATAAATCTCCAACATCTTTTACAGAGCTGAGGATAGACAGGGAAAAAGATCTATGATCATCAAATGTTAGCCAAATGCCTTCTCTTACCCACCCCTGGAGCACCGTACTCCTCTCCTTGGAGCATGATTAAGAGTAGCTGGGTGAATTCCTGGTGTGAGATGATTTTGCTTATTGTCTGGATCTCCCACGATTCTCTAGGCTCAACAAGCAGAGGGTTTGTCATAGTCACCATCTGACCCCTCAGGACCTCACGGCACCCCTGCCACCTGGGGTGGCAAATTTGATAAAACAAATTTAACAAATTTGATAAAATTTGTTAAATGTATGAACAAATAAATGAGTTACCCAAAGAGTTGGACACAGCTGAGTGACTGAGGGCACACACATACAAATGAGTCACATGACTATATTAAAGACTGACTATAGTATATGAAACTGTCAACCAAAATCTAAGCCCCCAAAAAGAGTGCATCATATCTGGGATATCTCTTCGGATGGGGTTTTGAGGCTCTTCTTCCAATGATTTCACTCATGGCATGAGATTGAGATGATGAGGGCCTACCTCTCTGACATGTTTAGCTTTCTGTGACTGTACCCTGGGCTCAGAACCAAGAACTAATCCTGGTGGATTAACAGTAAAGTATCCAGCAAAAGGCACTGGAGATTATAAAAAAAAGAAAGAAAGGAAAATAAGATACAATCTGAGTCATCCCAACATGCAGACAGCATTATTTTTCCATAATGAGATGCTATCCCCTACATCCCTTACCCAGCTAATGTTCATGATTTCCTTTACATTATTTTTGCCAAATTCTTCCAAGAGCTAATGAAGGGTATAAAAAAAAAGTCAATCTGACTCACCACACTGACCATGTAACCTTGAACAAGTTAATCTCTCTGTACCTCAGTTTCACCACTTTTAGTTCAGTCGCTCAGTCATGTCGACTCTCTGTGACCCCATGGACTGAAGCACACCAGGCTTCCCTGACCATCACCAACTCCTGCAGTTTGCTCAAACTCATGTCCATTGAGTCGGTGATGCCATCCAACCATCTCATCCTCTGTTGTCCCCTTCTCCTCCTGCCCTCAAACTTTCCCAGCATCAGGGTCTTTTCCAATGAGTCAGCTCTTCGCAACAGGTGGCCAAAGTATAGGAGTTTTAACTTCAGCATCAGTCCTTTCAATGAATTTTCAGGACTGACTTCCTTTAGGATCAACTGATTGGATCTCCTTGCAGTCTAAGGGACTCTCAAGACACTTCTGCAACACCACAGTTCAGAAGCATCAACTCTTCAGCGCTAAGCTTTATTTATGGTCCAACTCTCACATCCACACATAACTACTGGAAAAATCATAGCTTGACTAGACGGACCTTTGTTGGCTATATAATGTCTCTGCTTTTCAATATATTGTCTAGTTTGGTCACAGCGTTTCTTCCCAGGAGCAAGCGTCCTTTAATTTCATGACTGCAGTCACCATCTGCAGTGATTTTGGAGCCCAAGAAAATAAAGTCTGTCACCGTTTCCATTGTTTCCCCATCTATTTGCCATGAAGTGACGGGGCCAGATGCCATGAACTTAGTTTTCTGAAAGTTGAATTTTAAGCCAGCTTTTTCACTCTCCTCTTTCATTTTCATCAAGAGGCTCTTTGGTTCTTCTTCACTTTCTGTCATAAGGGTGGTGTCATCTTCATATCTGAGGTTATTGATATTTCTCCTGGAAATCTTGATTCCAGCTTGTGCTTCATCCAGCCCAGCATTTGACATGATGTACTCTGCATATATGTTAAATAAGCAGGGTGACAATATACAGCCTTGATGGACTCCTTCCCAAATTTGGGTCCAATCAGTTGTTCTATGTCTGGTTCTAACTGTTGCTTCTTGACCTACATACAGATTTCTGAGGAGGCAGCTAAGGTGATCTAGTATTCCCATCTCTTGAAGAATTTTCCACAGTTTGCTGTGATCCACACAGTCAAAGACTTTGGCATAGTCAATAAAGCTGAAGTAGGTTTACACTGGCAGAAATAAAAGCACCCACTCCCCATGGTTATAGGGAGGACTGGATAGATTAGTATTAAAATGTCCTAGAAACTGTACTGGCCACACAGATAGCACTATTTAAGTGTTGGCTATTATTGTCATTACTATAACAAAATCTGTGCATCAATAATTTAAGAAAAAAAAGTAGCACCCCATCTTAACAGAAACTCTTTTTCCTTTAAGCACCCACTGAGACAGAAAAGACAGAGAAGACTCCCATAATCATCATTTTAAAAAGCAGGTAAAGCATTCTTCTATATGATTCTCATTTACAGTAGCTAAACTGCATTTAGAGGTAATGCTACCAAATAGTGATGATCTTAATTGGATGAAATGTCATTAAACTAGGCACAATATCATCATGTTCATTATACTGATGTTTAATAGATCCCAGAAAAGGGCTTTCACATAGGTTATCTCACTTGGCATCATAACAACCCTGGGAATTAGTATCTCCTCCATCTACAGAAGAAACAAATAAGGCTATTATAGATTATATAAATTGCCAAAAGTTACAAGTCTAATCGACAGGACCAAGGTTCACACCACCTCTTCTGAATGTAAGCCCAGTGTTTTCCCAGAGAAGGAAAGAAGTTGCCAAGATTAAACAAAAGATGATGAGTCCAAAGTGATGAGTTCAAATCTTGTTTTAAGAGATAACGCTTTTTAATGGGCAATTTCTTAAACACAGTGTAATCACCCTGGTGTTGTTGTTGTTTAGTCATTAAGTTGTGTCTGACTCTTTTATGACCCATGGACTTGTAAACCTCCCAAATCCTCTGTCCAAGAGATTTCCGAGGCAAGAATACTCGAGTGGGTTGTCATTTCCTTCTTCAGTAATCACCCTAAAATTAATATATTTTAAGAAACTAATTTTGAAATATTTGAGTAAAGAATGTTAGAGAGTCTAAAATGTAGTGCTTTGGATTTGTCCACTTGGAGCAATAAAATATCACTGCTAACTGATTCCTATTCAAAGAGCCAGTACCCAAAGAAATTATTCTCTCCTGAAGGCAGGGCTACATAAAAAGATGGCTACAGTAGCCACTGAATAAGGTCTTGGGAAAACCAGAGTTAACATCTTTTAAAAGGTACCCAACTCAAAACGTCTGGCTCAAGTTGTTCTCAAAGACAGATTTAATAACATGTTCACACCCATACTTTATAAAAGCAAAGTTTTCAGATAATCTAAACAAACAAACCAAATTCCACCCTTGGTTCTTGCCTATGCTTGCAATGTTGAGTAATAGTTCACTTCTGCTTATTTTCACAAAACTTTATTCCTCAAAGAAACTCAAATCTGAATTGGAAAACCTCCCAGTTATGACAAAGGCTATCTCAGTGTATACAGAATATTTAGATATAGATTTAATAACCATTATCTCATTTTTTTTCCACCTGAGGTTTAGATTCTTACTCCACCTTTGCTGCAAGTATCTCT